TAAGAAGTCAACCACGAAAGAAGATTTCCTTTAATTCCTAATTTGTTCATTTTAGTTAGTAATTTAGCATGACAGACCTTATCAAACGCTTTCGAGAGATCAACATAAACAATGTCAACCGATTTGCCCTCGTTGATTGCTAAGCTCCACTCGAACACACTATCAACCAGATTTGTTGTGGTGGAAGCACCATTCAAAAAGCCATGTTGTTCATCGGGGATCAAATCCGAAACCTTTAGCCATTCCAAAAGTTTTTCACGTATGATTCTTTCCATGATCTTAACAGGTGTGGGAAGCAAGCTAATTGGACGGAACTTATCAATTCGACATGCTCCGTCAGTTTTTGGAATTGCTGTAACCAAAGCTTCTTTCCACAAGTTAGGGACCTCTCCCCACAACATCGAAATGTTGAATATATGTGCAAGCGGAGCCGCAAGCGACATTTTAGGTATACTATCTGAGGGATGCCGTCAAATGTTTCAGTTATGGAAGGTTTTAGTTTGATAAGGAACTGGTAGACATTTGCGGGATGAAAATGAACGTTACTGCAAAAATGGCGGGGCAGCACTGCATCAGCGCTTATTCTGTCAGCATCACTATCACTGTCCTTATTAATAGCGACAGGAGAGTAAACGCTGGCAAAATAGGCACCAAGAGCATCTGCCTTATCTTTATCGCTAACATAAGAGGTACCAGAAGAATTTGTCAAAGTAGAAATGTTGGGAGGGCTTCATTTTATTCTTCAAATAAGAAAAAAGATATTTAGACGACTTTCTTCTAGCAAGCATTCGTTCACGATATGACAAATATTTTTTATGTGATAGTCTATATCAGCACAAACTTTTTTATACAACGGGCAACTCAAAGGATTGGGCAGAGTATCAAAAAGACGTTGTTTTTGAGATATTAAGGCACGAATGTGTGGTGGCAGGTCGATCTTATGAATACCAGAAACTTTGACCCTAATCGGAACAAATTTGCTAAAGGCTTCATAAACTGTTAGGCAAAATCTTTTGTAGACTTCAGAACATGAGGTATAATTATTGAATAAGGAGAGCCAATCTACACTAAAGAAGTAAGAATCAAGAGAGGAATAGTCAACACTGAGAAAATCAGGCAAGGGTAATGTGGAAGCAGAGGAATTCGAAAATCCGACCTCGAAGGTGACAATCCTATGATCCGAGGACCCAAGTGGCTGAAGTGTGCCCACATGCGAGATGAGTGGAAAGGCCGAGAGCACAATGTCGAGAGTATTGCTATCATGAGTCGGTGAGGTCACATATTGCTTTAGTCCACAGTTGTTTACAAACTCCAGAAAAGGGCAAGAGGCAGCATTGAGGGATTTCTTGGCCATCCAATCAATTTGCAAATTGAAATCTCCGAGTATGATAGTTGGAATGTTCTCAGAAGCAAAATTGCTAAGAATCTCCAGTAATTCATCATCATCATTACCATTCGAACTAGGTGGGCGGTAAACCGTGATAAACTGCATTTGGCACCCTCGGTCAATGTCAGAAACTTTAATTTCGAGTAAATCAGCTTTGATTTCAACGTTCAAATCAACACATGTGGCGAGAAAATGGCTTTTAATAATGCAACAAACTCCACCACCTTTGCGTCTACGTCGATCAGCTCGGTAGATCAAGTATGGTAAACCTCCAACAATTTCAGAATCCAAAATATGAGAATTGAGCCAGGTTTCATTGATAAAAATTAAATCGGGCTTGTGATGGCAGATGAAGCTTTGCAAGAGATGTATTTTGTTGCAGAGACTACGAGCATTAATTAGGCATATTTTAGATAGAGAGAGAGACCATGCACACCTAAGCGTTTCCCTGAAAAGCGTGAGGAAGCGCGGAGATGTGTACCACTTCATCACGGTAGACTACCCACTCTTTTTTCAATTTACCCCTGTTGCGTTGACGAGCTTCGTTTCTGAGCTCGTAATCCCTCTTACGCTCCTCTGGAGTCATACTTTTCCTAACGTACACGTTAGGAAAAGCAGAGCGACGCAACAGCCTGGAATTGGTCAAGGCTGTGCGCCAGTGGGACCTCGATGGCAGCACAACCTTGACGATAGATCTCTACCGGACGGCATTCGACCCTGAGCACCTCCAGGATATTGCACACCTTTTGCTCAAGATCATGTTGCCTCTCCTGGTAGCCGACATCCCCCTCAGCCTCGCTGACCCCGCTGAAGACCACACTCCGAGCCCTTTTCTCGGCGCTCGGATCAATAGTGGTCACCCCCGATACTTTTTCACAAAGGAGGGCAAGCAACTTGTCAATCAATGGATCACTATTCCTCTCACGTATGCAATCGATCAAATTTTCAATCGACATTTCGCTGAAGTCAGACATGACCGTTTAACTACTAGCATCGGCATAATCCCTTTGGGAAAATGAAGATGGACTAGTAGACGAAGTCTTTTTAGAGGTACGCGTACTTCTGGTCATGACTGATTCATCAAAAAGATTGAAAAATCAAACGATCACAAGAAAATGAGCAGAAATGCAGTGAGCAGCAATGTGCTACAAAATCACCAACAAGCAAATAAGAAAAACACCACAGAGGATAAAAAAGGAGAGGAAGGATTGAGAGGAATGATAGGCAGGATATATGATTAGATAGATAATCGACCTATCCCACGCGCGAAAGAGTCACAAGATCGATTGGCAACCACCACAAGTAGGAAGAAGATAAAATTAAACAAAACAAAAATGGCGGGATATGAGAGGGTGGTGCCAGAAACAACAGTGAGAAGAGAGGAAGGAGTGGAAGCAAAAAATGAAGAAGAAACACGACAAAATTAGAAAAAACTACGGAGGAACGAGGGGCGCTGTGACCGCTAAAGGAGATCCGACCGCTCAGCGCACCGGCAGTGATAAGAATGAGTTGTTCCACTTGCTGGAAATTCTTACTGTACGAACGGTAAGAATTTCCAGCAAGTGGAACAATTATGATGTAAGCCATGCGACATCTTCCTTTCCAAAACCTGGAGAATCGTAGGGTTTTCAGGTACTAAGGTTTTCGCGAAATGATTCTACTACAACATTTTTGAATGTTTTCAGCTTTTTTAACACGTTTCGGACCGGTGCTGCACATGGTGCAGCACCCTGCTTTGAGGGATCTTTTTGACGTTTACAGGAGCTTTTCTTTTAGTCCAAGGTTATCATGTCAAAGGCCTAAGCTTCTACTTTTCGCATGACTCTGTAGAGTTGTGTCGACGATATTGGTTTAGGAGATATGAACACAAATTGAACAACAGTTGCAACGAAGTGCGGCAGTGCGAACGACGAGTGCGACGTCGCAACTTTCATTTGCTTCGATATCGAAGAGAAAAACCGTAATTTCAATACTGATGTGTACCCTCTACAACATAGGTACTTTGGGATACTATAAGAAACCGAGTTCTTGTTCCTATATCTCAGGAAAGCACAGAAGTATTTCACAAGCGACAAAATTCAAACACTTTGATTGCATTCAAAACTTTGGGTATGGAACTTATTTGACAAGCTGATTACAGATGTAGCACACAGTTTACCAAATAAGGCCCCTTTGTTGACCAATGGCTGAAAGTGCACTCTTTTTCGCCGCGCGCGATTTCGCGGTCCGAAACGTGTTAAGGTGTATCACATTTTAGATAAATGCTGAGAATTCAACAGTTACGGTGCATTTGAAATAACTTAGGAAGGATTGCCTCACTGTAAAATCACAACAATTCAAAGCAGGCACTACAGAATGGTATAACTAAAAGTCGGTGAAAGACATCAACGCAACAACGTTCTTAACAATCAAACAGTGTACTTCTTTTGCTTATATTCCCTTCTTCAAAACTCGTCAGATCCTTCTCAGACAATTGCATCGGAAAGTTCGCGGCCTCAAAGCGTGCTACATGGCGCGCCGCGGCCCTTGAATTTTCAGCCGCGCACGCCGCGGCCTACGTATATTTTACCGGGAACGCCGCGGCCAAAGTTGAAACTGTAAAGAGCTTATCGGGAGAGTCGCGGCCCAATCACCTCACTCAGCGTGCCGCGGGCCTTATAAAGGGCCGCACTTCTTACACGCTGTAGCTCAAGCCGCAACCCGCGTGAGGTAAGCCGCAGCACTGGGGCTACCTTAAGTGTTTGTGGGGCCTGCAATCGCTTCTCGGATCGGATTGTGTGGCAGTTGAGTTTATATGCTCAGGAAACAAACCTCAGCAATCGGTTGAGTGTTATCGATGACAGTAGATGATGTCCACAGATGAGCTAACAAGTTGCTCAGTTTGTACTCAGTCGTTGTCATGAAAGACAGGCCAAGACTTTTTCACTCTTCTTAGGCCTCACAAGCATGCTAATCGGGTCAACTAGCGGGCGCTTACAGGATGCGCCGCGGTCACTTACCGGGTTTAATATCGGTTTATACCGGGCAGCTCGCGGCATGGATGATTGGTGGCCGAGCAAGCACCCGCGAACTTCCCGATGCAATTGTCTGAGTTTACTGCAGTTTCAAGTAAAAACCAAAAGGGGTGTATTTAAAGCCAGGGTCAAGCGTGGGGTGTTGCATGCCACACCTGGGGCGTCTTACTGAGAAATCAGGGAGGTGGGGAGTCGCGTCCGCTGTTCGCATAACATGAGATTCGTTAACAATGTCAAATAGGCATGTAAAATGCTAGCACGTTGATGTTTGACCCATAATCGTATACGTACAGTAAACATAATTAAAGATCTATAAAGCATAAGAGCATCGTTTTGTAATTAGCAAGTAGATAACCCAGTGATCCAAGTTTCAGCTAATTCTGAGATTTCCAAACACAGTACCACCTAAGAGAGATGGTCGTTTTTAAGCATGTTACTTTGTTTCAAAGGTAAGTTGATTCTTTTTTTTGAGTTTAATACAAAAAACTACTGTTTGCTCACATTAGGAATCCTATTTAAAATGACGTCCAAATTAAGGAATTGAGAGCGAGCCAAAATCTCGTTTGTTTCATTTTTCATTTGCATATCACAGGCTAGAGAAGACCAATCAGGCTCAAATCACTTTGATGTAGATTTTTTGGGCTCCCGAACTACGCACATGCAGTTCATGCTCGTTCCGCAGTAGCCAAAGCTGCGTGGATTCTGAAAAATCGTAATTAGTTATGCAGACCTCGTAAAAACACTGTATCTATCATATCATCAAGAGCCATAGGAGATTCGCATGCGTATAGCGGTGGTCCCGCAGACATTTGAACAGTTGGAAAACTTGTTGAATCTCCACTCAAAGCATTAGTTTTTGTACTCTCCAGCTATCAAAAACTGCCACGCAATTTTTTTCTTTTTGAACTAAACTGAACTTGTTTCCATGAAAATTCCGGCCAAAATTCCAAAATTGCAATCTAGGAATTTTCCGGCATGTTGTTTCCAAATATGATGTGGTTTCGCCTAAAAAGTTGAATTTTTCGTTTTTGATTTTGAATTTTTTCTGTAAATTTCGTTATAAATTTGATAAAACTGAAAACAAACGGAAAATGTCAGAAAGCCCAAATATATTTGAAAATGTTGCGGGTAGAAATTCAAAAAATTTTCCCAGATTTCAGCAAAACAAACAACATCATATTCGGAAAGAGCATGACAAAATACCCCTAAATACAATTTTTTTAGCATAATTGGATTGATTGACTACTGTGGCCGTATTCGTCAACGAACCCTGAGGGTTAAGCTTAGCCTCCAGTTCAACCCTCAGGAATCATTGACCGTATTCATCAACCATAGGCTAGGGTTTACCACGTAACGCGATCTACCCGTATCAATCAACGAACCTGTGGCCGTATTCATCAACCCTGGAGGGCTAAGGCGTCAGTTACGCGTGCGCTGTGCGAACTCACATCACAGAATGCCTAAGTACGGGCTAAATTCACTTTATACTTCTATTCTTTCACTATTATAGTAGTATAGTCAACGAATAAGCTTCTAACAATACTTTTAATAATACATCTCTAGCATACTTGTGCAGCATCCAATCTTACAGCGTGAGTTTATTTTCATGTGTGCAATTGTGCAGTGTAAGTTCTACTTTTGCGCAGTTCGTTTTATACCGGGCTTGTGCTACTCTTTTAGGGGTCAGTGCGTGTTATTATAAAGGGGTTTTTCTGTTTTGGCACTTGTCAGAGTTCAATGCCATTTTTCCTCGCGCATTCATTTGTCACCAAAGCTAGAATTCTTTTTCTCGCGAAGTCAGTGTTTCATGTACTTCGAAAACGAAGTCGAAACTAAATACAATAACCACAACCAATACTAAATACTACAATACTCGTTGATCGTTTTCCAAAAACTATTAGATGCGAGTAAATGTTTGTATGAAGTGTTAGGGTAGAGTTAACCTTGCTCTGAGCTAGGGTTAAATTAATTCTGATGAATCACGCAAGTTTAACCCTCCAGGGTTAGTTTAACCCTCACGGTTCGTTGGTGAATACGGGTTAGTCGCTTTCGGGGTAAAGTTAACCCTCAAGGTTAAATTTAACCCTCAGGGTTAAGCCTACTCTGTGTTTCATGAATACGGGTTAAACGCTTTCCAGGGTTAAACTAACCCTCCAGGGTTAGTTTAACCCTCGGGGTTCGTTGATGAATACGGCCACTGAACTCCAAATTCGAAGTTTTGATAAATTCCCGGTTTCATAGACTGTTAGATGGTGACGGAGTTAACATGTGCAGAATCAACTCGTCCGCGGTGCAAACTGAGTGCAAATTAGTGTTGCTGCCAATTCATGACCTCTCATGAACCTAACTACGCGCCGGCAAGCTTTTCGAGGTATTTTGCGGGATTACGGTAGTCCGACACCTTGACGTCATTTTGTATGATTCTAATAATTTTTTCTATGATTTTGATAAAACCATAAAAAACTGCAAACATGTCAAGTCATCGATGAAACCAGTGCTACCCAAAAACGGGCTTCCGCAAGTTCTAATTTTATGAAGCGATTCTGTATTAAAACAAGGAAAACTGCTGTGGCTGTTTGTATAGCACAGTCAAATTTTAGGAACTGCTAAAAGAAAAACTGCTGTTACGGTACTAGCGTGAACAAACTTCGCTTAGACCTTTCGTACATAGTGTTTCTTCTTTGAGTGGAAAATTCAGCACATCCACCCTTTCTCACGATAAGGGACCACCACTGATAGAAACGACCACAAATTATGCTTTCACCTGTGCCTTACAATGAATGTTACATCCTTCATTGGCCAATTTTCTGGTGTGAGAATTTTTGCTACCCATTTCTTCGCAGAGACTTATCACTGTGCCAAGGTTGAAAAGAAGTAGAAGGCCAATAAGAGTCCACTTCATTCTGAAATGAAGAGAATTAGACGATGGCGTGATTAGTCGTATCACAGACATTCTTGCAAACTTCGATTTGGAGCGTGATTTAATCTAACAATAAGTATTACAGGGTTAACAGCCTTTTGGAAACACGAGGGAACTAGGGCAACAGCAATTTGATAGCCCCCGAAAATGTCAAAACTTTTCTAGTCAGTTTTTTAAAATACAACACCAATGCAAAAATCTTTCCACCGGCATTTTTGGCTTCGAAGCACGAGAACTACTACCTTGTGTTAGTTCATTCTGGTCTCAGCACAGGTTTTAGAGATGGATATTGTTTAAAAGATAAAACACGAAGGGAGTGTCATACAAGAGCGAAGCCTAGCTAGAAGTCATGAAAGCAGGACTTGCTTAGAAAGAAAACACGGGGGAAGGTGTCATAAATCGTGCTAGCAAGAGGCATATAAGCGAGCGTTTAACGACGTATAACTTAAAAAACAATTTGAATGCAACAAAATTAGCATAGCTTTTTTACAGCGCAGAGACAAGCCTAAGACACAAATTTGGACCATATGCATATATTAGATCGTTTCAACATGTCATAAAACACGTAAGATAAAGGCAGGCTCTAAGCAATATCTAACGCAATTTTCCTTCCTCTTTTCACAAATGAATTGGGACCATTTGCTGTGGTGGTTTCTGAAATAATTTCCGAAATTTCAAAACCATGGTTTCAGCAACCCAACTTTGGCAATATAGTATATCAAAATCTTTATCTTGAACTTTCAAAAAAGAAGAAGTCATGGAAGCAGGACTTGTTTTGAAGGAAAAAGCGGGGAAAGCGTCATTAATCGTGCTAGCAGGAGGCACATAAGCGAGCCTTGAACGACGCATACAGTTAAAACCAATTTGAATGCAATAAAACTCGCAAATGGCTTTTTTACCGCATAGAGACAAACTTATGACGCAAATTTGGACTAAATGCATATATTTAGTCGGTCCGAAAGTTCCTTCCCTTTTTCAACCTGTCATAAAAACACGTGGACTAACATATAGACGACCAAAGAATTCTTGGACCAGCCAACATTTTTCAGATAAAATCACGCACAATTCCATTTACAGTACATCTACTGTAGAGTTGGAATGCTGGCAAAAACAGTAGAGGTTGTATCTAAATTCAGCATAAAAGAAAATCCCCAGAGATGATTTGAAGCAAATTAGTAGCCATTTTAATGGGAGTCATGGTGTGTCAAGCCTTGACACACCATGTGTGTCAAGCGGTCCTTAGTGTTTTAAAAGCAAGCAAATGCTTTAAGCACTATCAGATGCAGTTTTCCTCCCTTCCACCATTTATATTTTGGGACCAATTTCCTTTGGTGGTTTCTGAGCATGGGTGCGATAAGGTGAGAAGATTTCAGAGTATAAATAGTTTGCTTGAAGTTGGTAAAAAAAAGGGCCAAGTGTATGGTGTGTTTAGTGACTTCTGGATATTTTCGAGTTTTTAACATTAAGAAAATCCATAACTTTTGTAGATGAACAGATAGTACACCGCAATGGTCACCAAACCGTCTCGTCCTCCGCTTTCAGAAAATATAAAGCATGCATGAAATTCGTTCAAAAAAGAGCTTGGGTAAAGGGTGAGTGAGACTTCTTCTATAATGGGAATGCTCAAGTAGAAGTCTTTTCACCATGGTAAAAAAGCCTCTACTTGGGCCCTATTATAAAAGTCTCACCCACCCTTCACCCGGCACTTTTTTCAATGGACCCCAGGCAAAGTATATATTTTCTGAAAGCGGTTCCAGTGGTGACCATCTCCGTGTACTATCTGTTCATCTACAAAAGTTATGAATTTTTCTATGCTAAAAACAAAAATATCCAGAGCTCACTAGGCACACCTTTCACTAGGAACTTCTATGAACGGACTCTCAAACTAATCCCCTGAAACCAGAACGGAACGTTGTTCCATGGAACTTTCCTCGCTGACGTTGCTGTGCAATCACAGCAGCTAACATTTTTTTCCCTTCTGGAAGTTCGTGAATCCCTACAAATCTTCTTCCTCCTCTCCGATACACAAACAATTCCCGTACAGATATCTCCTCCGCTTAGCCTTACCTCACTGTTGATTTTTTTCTCGGCTTTTGGTAAAGGGTCCCGGTTCAGGGGTAAAGGGGGGGGGGGGGTAAGCAAATTCCCATACTGTCGCACCTATGTTTTTGTTTCTGTGGGATAATTGCAATTTTGAACCTATGGTTTTAACCATGCCTAACTTTGGCAATTTCTCAAAAACTTCATTTTGGACTTTTGAGGGAGCTTTGATAAAATAGTTAGCCGGCGTAAACAAAGGCAACGCATACAATTTTCTCGCATCTCCAATTAGCTTCTTAGTATTTTTTAGTACAACTTTTCCAAAATACTTCATTTTTGCGAAGTCGCAAAATACGCAGATGCTCCAAACACTAACAAATCGTTGTGTTGAAGATTTCACATGTTATAACAATCGCATGATCAGTCGCATTAAAAACATTCTTACAAGCTTCGGCATAATTTATCGAAACGAAGTTTTATTTCATCATATTTTTACACAGAGATCATTAGTTGACTTTTATGAACGGAATTCGAGAGCTTCAGCCAACAGAGCAGCAGTATGGTAACATCCGCATATATCGCGATCCTATCTACAGCTCCCCAAAAATACACCAATGCGGACTCACTAAGCTTTTTGGAACTTTGAAGTATGAAAAATGCTAATACCCTTGTGCTACCTCATTCTGGCTTCGTCACACTTTTCACCTGGGCGAGCTGGATATCGTTTGGAGATGAAACGCGAGAGGAATGTCGTACAGCATCAGAACCAAGGCCAGCGTAAAAGTAATGAAAGTACGCAGGGCTCGTTTTGAAGGAAAAAGAAGAAAGGTGTCATAAATTATGCTAGCAGGCACATAAGCAAGCACTCAAACGACGCATACGCTTTAAAAACAAATTGAATGCAAATGGAATTAGCAAATGGCTTGCTTACAACCCAAAAACAAGCATATGATACCAAAATCGGACTAAAAGCATATGAAATCTTTCCTAAAAATGTTCTGTAAAAACTTGAAAAATCTACGTGAGAAATAACATTCTTCAAAAAAACTCGCCTTCGATCGCGTAAAGGTCGTTGAAATAATCTGCGATTCTTTCTCCTCTACTATTCCTAATTTACGTTGCTGAACTCCCTACTCTTTTGAAAACCCATCCTGACATCAAAGTGCAAATGTTTGCGGATGATATCAAAGTATATTACTGCTATGACCCTAGTCAACAACATGCTGCTTTCGATGCACTCTCATCTTCTATTCAAAGAATGATATCATGGTCTAAAGATTGGAATATCCCTGTAAACCCTTCCAAGACTACTGTGATGCAATTAGGTAAATCCTCTTTCCACACTTACAGCTATGATGGTGCCGATCTTGAGTCCTCCAACCTCGTACGAGACCTTGGCGGGATTATCAGTAACACACTCAATTTTTCCACCCATATTGACTTGACTGTCAAAAATCTTCCTCAGCTCTTTTTACAATCTTCCGTAATATACATAGTAATGATGCAAAGATTTTTCTGACCTTATACAAAAGCTACGTACTGCCACATCTTGAATACGCATCTCCGGTATGGAGCCCTTTTTTGAAAGATAATATTGAAAAACTTGAAAAAAATTCAGAAAACTTTCACGAGAATCCTCTTCTACAGATGTTACCCCGATTCAAGTTATTCCCAGAGTCTGCCATCGTATCGATCACGACTCAATTTCCTTCAGCTTCGTAGTCTAAAGTACAGGCGTATCATAAATGATCTGGTTTTGGGATTTCGCATATTGCGTTTGGAGAACAGACTCCGGGCTAGTAAGTACTGGGTGTTTAGACCATGTAGTCAACGAGTAGGTAAGCTTAATCTATATTATCGCAGATTAGGCACAAAGAAACTTTCGATCACGTTCACCTCATTTGTTTGTCGCACTTCAAGATGGTTATCATGCTTAACAGATGAAATAACTTCAAGTGAAAATTCCACTATCTTTCGTAGAAGAATGCAAAATGTTGATGTACTTCAAATTCGAAAAATATCTGATTTTTAGACGAATGCTTCCAACCCGATGTCCCTCAGCCTTATAGTTGTCAATCAGTTGCTGTTATGTTCGCCATGGCTTCCATTCCCTCTTCAGAGCTTGGCTTTTGCAGGAGTCCTATCGTCGTTTTCCTGGCTGATGCATCGCTTCGGTTCGGATGTGCCGTGTTTCTGCCTGTGCTGCCATCTACTTCTTTCCCCCCATTAATGTTCCTGAGAGTGTCTTTGTTCCTGCAGTGCTTTAGCATAATTAGTTTTATCAGCCTGTCGTTTATCAAGGAAACTGCATATTCGCCTCACCGCCCCTTGCCTTACCTCAGGTCTTTTCAAAAGTCATCATTATCAATTGATTATCTTCATGCCTAGTACCTCAGCCATATCTTGCCTTCTCCCAGCCTATTCCTTCTCGGGGCTAAGTCAGCTGGCCTCCGCCCGTAGGCTCGCTGACACCAAATCGGGGGTGTTAGCTATCATTGAGACAGCAAGATGCTGAAGTCTAGTCTTTAACCAGCCTTTCCTGCTGCTTTCTTATTCTTCATGTGAAGAGCTTAATAGCCGTTGATTAGGGGCTTTATTTACCTCACATTTTATCCCATTAGGCAATCATGTTCGTTCAGTGTTATGTCTTCTGTTAATTCCACTTTTCGTTTTTGTTTATGGCACACCTATTGAGGTATTGTAAAATAAAATAAAATAAAATAAAATAAAATAAAATAAAATAAAATAAAATAAAATGAGATTTTGCGAGTTTACATAAACTTTCAATTTTTTTTAAACATAGACGACTTCTCCAGTGAAAAGTTTGTTCTTGAGAGTAGATTTTCAAAGTTGTTCTCCTCTTTGAAATGATGAAACCACTACAGCAGATTTCTGCATTCTGCATTTTCGTCAAATTGTGCCATTTTGCATATGCTTCGCTTTTTACCAAAGGGATCTTCGTGAATTATGTGAAATTGAGGGGATTTTGTTTTCAAAACGCTAGAATGCGACGCGTGCAGGCTCTGGACAGAACTTCAGAAAATTTTGCGTACATGTGCTTAATATCGTTAGTATAGTATGGTATCATTACTCTTTTGCTTTAGCCACATCGGCTGCTAGAGGGCGAGCAATCACCTCCTAGGTAATGAAGCTTCGCCTTCCAGCAGCCGATTTGGTTGAAGCAAAGGATACTTAGATACAAAGCCTAATTAGAAAAAACTTTTTTATGAAAAGCAAAAAAAATTTCGGATAATATTTCATCGCTGATTGGTAAAAAAAAGACTTGTCCGCAATGCACGCGTAGCGATATAACATAAAATCTACCAAGTATAAATACTGTGGGGAGCAAGAATAATGTAGAACTACAAAAAGTTGTTTTAGGTGTAAGTAACATTTTTCGAGTAGGTAATTTTATGCCAAATTTGAGAGCCTTGGCATTGAGATATGAGGCTATAACCTTTTGATTCTCTACACATCATGCTTTGTCGCGGCTCCGCGATGCAGAGCGCTCCTCGGAACAAGTGCCGGGGGCGCTGTATGCCGCTTTGCCGGCAAGCAAAAGCTGGAATATTTCTGCTAACACTCCTTGTGGCCCACGTCGATCTACAATTTAGGACGCCGACGCGAAGATCTACATCACCTTTGGAGTAAAGTAACACAAGCCCCCTGTCGACCTCCCTTGCCTCCCCCAGTTTTCCTTTGTTGTGCGGGAGGGTGGACTGGTGTCCACTTATTGGGCTTAGGTTGACGCGCGTAGCATGTCCTATAGAGAAAACAGTCGACCGTCTTGCGTTTTTTGTGGGGAAGTAGTACATAGGAGGCTTTACTCATTGCATTGGCAATTATCGTAGGCGGTATAGGAAGGATAGGCGTGTAAGAATTAGTAGTTAGTAGTAGATCATCTATCTCACCCAGTAACGCGTCTTTTTGGTGACGCGTTACTGGAAACATATACAAGGTAGATATGGTGGGACGCTCTTCACATATAGTTGGATCAGATAACCTATCACCCGATTCCATCTGAAGGTTTTCGTAAGGCTCGCTAGAACATCTTAGCCTCCACGTAGTGCACGGATTTAGTAGGAGCGGGCTCTGGCGCGAAACGCGCAGTGGTGTTTTTCGAGTTCGAGAGTGTTGACCTTGTAAAGTGTATTCTTTTTAGAGTGGTTCAGAGCATACGAAGATATGTACACGATCGGATAGTATGGCCCATGGGCAGTTGGTGTCATGCTCACATGGGTTGAATGGTCGTGCCGTCCACGCGGTTCAGCAGTTCGTGAAGACCGTACTAGATCCGATAGTTCAAATGGTTCATGCACGATCGGTGTCACACTCATATGGTTGGAATGGTCGCGTCGCTAAGTATGCTGTAATGGTTCAATGGTTTCGGTCACACCAGCTCGCAGCCTACGTTGTATATAGTTATGTTTTATTACTTTTTTGTTTGTCCTTATAATTTTGAGCTACCTATCTGAGTTTGATCGAGGCGCTCGTGACGACTTTGATTTTAGTTTTGATTTTACCTAGTTCCATTTGTTTTAACCTTTAACTTATTTATTTAGCTGATAGTGCTTTGGGTATGTAGTTATATTGTGCGTTAACGCAGTTAGCTCTTCGTGGTTTTTTTCGAGCGCGCCACGGGACGGGTTTTGTTACTAGTTTTTAGGTCTTCTACGCGCTTTTCTGTGTTGCCGACGGATATTGTTCTTTTACTGTCTACTTCTAAAGCTTAGGTGGTTGTACTCCCAGTTGTTGCCAGCGTCATCACGTAACCACCTTGTCGAACGCTCAAGCCACTGTTTGGGGGGGGGGGGTAGTGTCGCGCCTCCGCGATTCAGAGCGCTCCTCGAAACAGGTGCCGGCGGCGCTGTATGCCGCTTTTGCCTGTCGCGCCTTTTGTAGGCTGCCGCAAAACCACCTCCGGCTTGAAACGCAGCCAAGTGGTGGGGTGTATAAGGCTGCGCGTGAGAGCAGCCCTCGCCTCTTAGACATCTTCACTATGATTGTTTTTGCATCATACTTGGTTACGTTCTGTGCAGCTCCCACAGTTGAAGATCTTGTGTTGAGCGGTTGAGTCCTTGGATCTTATGGATTGACGCGCGTTAACGCAAGGGAACTGGGAGGCCGTAGATGAACACCGCTGCGGGAGTGGAGCGGTGAGTGCACCGTTCCATTGGACTGGGCCTCAGCGGCCGACTCTGTGGAGGAAAGAACTTCTCTGATGGATTAAGCCACTAGTACATCGGCAGCACAGGACGCGCGGCTCCTCCTGTAGTAGTAGGTAGGTCATCCTTTTTGGGGGCCGAGTAGTTATTTTGTATATTGTTTTTAATATATTTGCTTTTATGTATTTATTTATATAAACTTAATCTAATTATATTTGTGCGTTTGTTTGGGTGGATAGTTGGGTGACCGCGTCGAATGGATGCGCCGTGTGGATCCAGCGGTGTTGGACGCGAAAAGTCCTAGGGTGTGGGACTGTAGTGTAGGGAAGTCGAGCGCACGACTAGGAGAGCTGGGTCCGCCGAGCTGCAACATGCTTTGATATTACTCATTTCCCGTTTGATAGTATCGCTAGAAATTGCACAACTCCATTTTGACTTGAGCTCGGAAACTGCAGAGCTCTATGGCCTCGCTTATGTCCAGAAGATGATATGCGCAAGAGTATGTTGTTCCCGTTGCGCTCCCTAAGGACAAATGCCCACACTGAAACAGAATTTTCGTAGGTAATCTTCGTTGGAACTATATAACTACTGACAAGATGCCGCTTGATCAAAGTGGCGATTAGAAAGCTAATGTATGCTAACGATAGGGATGAAAACGCTAATCACAAATGCACCTTTCATACATATCTGCGAAGCATTCTTCTGAATGAAATTATGAGCTTTTCTGATGCCAAATTTTCGCGCATTTTAAGCAGCAAAATAGCAATAATTTCCAAACAGAAGTATGCGGGCTCAAACAAACCTCCTGATAAGCATTGTAGGTATCATGATATTATCTGAACATTTAATAATGCCCTGCCGTTTTGTTATTCCCGGATCGTCAAGTTCAATACAAAAAGCTCATCTTGTTATAGAAAATAGCCCGCAGGTATAAAAGGTATTTCGTAAATCACCGTTTTGAGCTCTATTCTTTGCTATATATTGTCTACAAAAGTTTTTTTGTTCCTTCAATTGGCCACCACGAAAGCTCATGAAACATAAGAGACCGCATGGTATCATTTAATACTTTATTTCTTCTTTCTGGTGATTAACGAGGGAGAGTTCCCAAGTCAGCTCGGCCAACCCGGATGAGTCATATATCACCGTAACAAGCTTGAAACGCTGATTTCAAATCTGCATTTCTTTCTGCGGAGCGATTTCCCGAGAGAAGTTATGAGCGTGTAAAAGTCTAAATTTGTCATGTTTCAAGGGGCTTAAAATTGGCGGAACCTGTACAATAACACATGAAAGTGATTTATCTGTGTGTATCAAGTATATTAATTACAAGTCCGTTAGGTGTTGCTTTACAGCTTTCAACTGACTTTAAGCCACTTTGAACATGACAAATCTAGATATTTAAACGCTCATAACTTCCTTCGGAAAGCTGCTCCGCAGAAAAGGAAAGCAGATTTGGAATCAGGGTTTCAAGCACGTTACGGTGATATATGACTCATCCGGGTTAGCAGAGCTGACTTGGGAACTTTCCCTTGTAAGTGTTTCAACTGCCGCATGTCATTCTGGCGAGTAATACATGACTTAGTCAAGTCTGAGGTAAGCCGTTCAATTTAGGATCACTTTGTCACAAGTCTTATTTCCTTCCTGATTTGGGCGAACTTTGAACTCAGAATTTGTCCGTAAGTTGAGTGCGTTTTTTATGCGAAAATCTTTCTAAGCGTGCATCTCTTTTTTCCAGATAGGTGTGGGAGAGAGGGGTTCGGAGTCGTCTCTAATAGTTAAGCTCCGATTGTCCTTGCGGAAGGTCTGTAACTCAACAGGCAATCTTTGTGAGCAAATTAATCATTAAACGCAGTAATAACATGGAAAACTGCTTGAAGGCACGGTCCACCCCAAGTTGGGGGTTTTGAGCATTCGGCAGCTTATGACAGTAGAAGCCCCTATTAGGCCAACGCCTATGTCGCGGTGCAAAATGTCGCTTCGGAAGCAAGAAGATCGCTGTGGAATAGGGAAGAGGTATGAGCACCCCAAGTCCGCACCACCCACTCCAGTAATGCCGCCCGGTTATGGTACCTTGTTGGATCTTCGCGGTTATGGTGCCTTGTTGGATCTGTGCGCCCATCCAATCACCGGCCCGGAGAACCAACCTGGGGTTTTTAATGGACGGGGATTGTCGGGGTTTTCGCGGACTTTCGACTTCAAATTCGAAATCAGGGACATGAGAAGGCCCCGGAGCGATCAAAACATGAAAGTCGAGAATTTGGGTGGACGGTGCCTTCAAGACCGCATGTATTATATCTCCGCCTGGGGGGGGGGGGATCACAGCTTGAAAAGAAGCTATATTTCCTGAAGCTTCAAATATTAGGTTGTCGGATAATTTCTGTTACACTTTTTTCTAAATTTTCCAGGAAATTCCAGAAGCTTTCTGAAAACCCCAGATTTGCAACACGCTTAGGACACAGCAGGATCCACCCACCAGCATGATTGTTGCCGCAAGTGCACTGATGACCAACAAGTTTACGGCAGTTTTGTAAAAGCAGTCAAATTTTTCAGTTTTTGTTTGATCTTTTTTCCTGCATCTACCTGCGCTTTTTCTCTTCCAGAATTTTTTTAGAACGTAATTTGGCATTGTCTCTTACATGGAGGCGTTTCGGTGCCTCAAGCGTTTCAAAAACGAGGGGTGGAAAAAATATCAAAAAAATTCAAAAACCTTCCTAAATTTTTCTTTTTAGGTGCATTGAATAGAAATCAATACCAAAAACATAAAAATGATTTTTCGAGATTTTTTGAAGACGTTTTCTTTGTAGAAATTTCGATGATTGCAAACATAGCGCACACTGAAATTTGACACACTCAGAAAAACGTGTGCAGACATGTCTGCGTTTTCCCCCCATATTAGCTAAACTCTACAAACTATGCCCTTCCTGATTATCACATTGTCCAATCTATCGCTCATCACCCGAGAGAACGCCAGCTTATTTACAAAAATCGGAAGAAACGGATTTTCAGCCACAAAGTGGACGTTTTGCGCACGGATCGCGGATGCGACGGTACCCTTGAGTAGGCCTTTTGACCCTGCCCATATGCCGTGAACATGAGATCTTTTCAAAGCTTCTGAGATTTTTAAGAATTAAATTAAAAAGTGTAACAGAAATTATCCGACAACCTAATATCTGAACTTCGCGACACATTCTTAAAAGTAGAGTCCAGGCAGAATCTCAACTTCTTTTTTTGCCTTATCCAGGCCTTTTCATGCGCTGTTTCCAAGTGTAGCCTCCAAAATGCGTGATTTCTTCAAAGAAACCCCATTTTTGAGACAATTTTGTGAGAACCGTGGACGAGTGTTCTTAACGCTATTCTTGTCGAAAGCAACATTAACAGGTAGACACTATGAGTTCGACTGTGTTTGCCACGTGAAAACACGTCAAGGGCTGAGGAGAGTTCGTTCAAGGATGCGGGGCGTGCGAGGAAGTGGGCGTGGTCCTCGAGGCACGGCCTTTTCTGCACCGCTTTTCTCCTTTCGCAGGGGGTGTTCGAAGTCGGATTGATAGTGTTAGATCAAGGTCCTAGTACTCGGATGATAGTAGTGGGAAATGTCCAGATCTGTCTGGCTGCTTTTAGGTATTCCTGCTATCTTCACTGTAAGCATATTAGAAGCGAAAATCCGTGTCAGCCGCATTTTCCACTTTTTGTATGATGCCCTGGTGATCCCAAGCTTCAAACGTCATTAATCATTTTCCTTTTTTCGAAGTTAAAGAAAACGTTTCAAAGTCGTACCCATACCTAGCCCAACCGTATTAAGCAGGAAATGGTCAGAACTCAACCCAGCCATATCAAATAAGCTATATATCACGGAACTCGCCTTAGAATGCTTTTTTCAAATATATGTTTATTAACTGCCATCACTATCTAGATTATGGGTGTTTGCATTTGCGATCTGTCGAGTAATCCGTGACCATGTTCCAAAAACTACGTTGTAGAAACACGCTTCTCTAATCAGAATTACCCATAGCCATTGTAAGGCGCGCCATCGGACTGCCCTTTAACGATATATTCGTTGAAACTAGATGAAATTTTCATATTTAAACGCTCATAACCCTGTGCAGAATGTCGTTTAGCAGATAATAAACAAAATTTTAAAATCAGCGTTTCAAGCCGAGTCCGATGATATACAGTCTGTTTGGAATGGCTGGGTTAATTTTTGACCATTTGACACTGAGCTTCAACCAAATTTGACAAGACTCTCTACTATTACTGATTTTGAGTTCAAGGCCAGGGCCCGGCACGAGCTTGTCAAAAGGGGTTTTCGAAAACGAATTCCCCTTTGACCCAAAAATTTTTTACGAATTCCCCTTTGACCCAAAAATTGGTCCCAGTGATTCTGCAGTGAACACTTTGACCAAAAAACAAGTTTTAATGACGAAAAAATTAAAGGATTCATTTATGACAAAAAAACAAAAATGAGATCATATTAGAGATCTCCACATGAGGTCAATAAAGGACAGCACCGGCAGCTAGGGGAGGGGGAGCGCGGGGGGAGGGGGGATTCTCGAGATTCTCGAGCGGAGGAAGCAGACAGTGGACGTATTCCGGACCGCCAACCTGAACGGTTAGGCTCCAGCATAAAACAACAAAGATACCAAAAAGCTGCAGTTATACTCACCAAAGGAGTGAAGTTTCCAAGCTGTTCAGCAAGAATGAGCAGCACTTCGTCCTCATCATGAATGGTGTCTGAACATCGCAAATTAGAATTGTGTTGCTTGGGAACCGACACCAAAGGGAGCTCGTGGAGTCTGCCATGTTTTCGAAAAGAGTTATGGTGCTTTCAGATATAATCTGTTGGAAAGAATACAAAAAGACCTATACGTATTGAAAGCAAGAGGCAATTCTAGACTAAGTAGCTGAGTAGTAAATATCTAGTAGAAGGAATACCCAACGCTTTTTCGAAAGCACGCAAGCTCTATAGCATTCAGACAGATGTGAATAGTTGAAAATACTGATATAAACTACGCAAAGCATTAAATCATGGGCAGATGCCAAAATTATCCGGTTCAACCTAATCATGCGGTCCACCCATTCGCTATTGGTCAAATCACTGAATTGACCAATAGCGAAAGAGGTGAACCAAATGAACCGATTGAGCCACATAAGTCTGGTACCTACCATAACGACAACGTCTACGAAATAGAGAAGGAAACATAAACAAACAAAGTAAGGGAAATTATTCGTGAAGTATCCTAAGTGACTGCATACCTGTTAGGAATTGGATCAATTTCTAGTGCGTTCCTCTCCGAGCGCAAGAGGGATAGTAGACAACTTGCAGATACTGTTCAATCTCAGATGCACATCCTCATTGCGAAGTTCATCGATGAGCACGGCAATCGGGTACGGTGAGTCATGGGACTCACTAGGCGATTGAGAATCTGCTGCTGCCGTAGCGTTGTTTTCTGAAACAAAAGAGAATTTGGAGATGGCTCAGAGATATAGTGTAGTATGCAATAGTTGATTTTGGAGGAACTAGACACTTGTGAAGAACTTCAAGTTACAGATGATCCATGGGCGATATTTGACAGTCTTCCGATCTGTGTGGGAGCTGTTCTGTCCTTATGAACATGCACCCATCGATTGATCGGGAGCTGGTTTGTACGGGGAAGTCACGCATATTGAAGATCGGGAGACTGACAAATATCGCTTATAGTGCTCGCAAGGGGTGAAAGCCATTGCGGACTGCTGGGACTTCAATAAGGAACCAAAGAAGGTAAGAAATCCGCAACAACGTCCTGTCTTTGAGCATCAGACAATAACATACCACTAAAAAAGAAAATTAATTTGAGTCAAGCAGGAATTATCCAAAACAACGACTGCAAAATCTGTCATTTATCTGGATTCACTAATAACACAGACAACACACATCCGACTATAGCCTGTCCCGACCGGGACCAGGCCGAACCATTGGCGTAACCTTGCGCCACGCAGCGCTAGGAGTTTGCGCTGATGCGCACTGTCCAAGAGAGCGAAGAGAGGGAGCAAGAAAGTTGAACGTAAAGTGACGCAAAACCCTAGCGACGCGAACCAAACTCCCGCCATGCCAACGGGCTTGTGATTGGGCAGACTGTATACATTTTGTGTACTTTCAGTCAGATAAGATGGAAGAGTTAATCAAAAATATCAGAGTTATGCTTATCTACTATCTTATCACTACTGGTACTTTGTCCAAGCTGATTATGCTTCTCTATGTTTTTGCACCGTTGTTTCGATCGATGATCTTCATGTTCACCGCACATTTCTGCAGCTATAGTAGTCACCTCTATTGCGAAACTTTCCATAAGGACTATCAGCTGCCTTTTACGATTAAGAAGCAATCGCTACGAACACAAGGATTTAATAAAAGAAAGCTAAAACAGTGATTCTCTGAAGGCAGATGAGAAGCATGAAACGAATCTGCATCATTACCTCCCTTTTCCGCTATATATCATGGAAACTTTCGCAATAGAGGTGACTACTATAGCTGCAGAAATGTGCGGTGAACATGAAGATCATCGATCGAAACAACGGTGCAAAAACATAGAGAAGCATAATCAACTTGGACAAAGTACCTAGTGCAGGAGAATCACAAAAGGTTAGGACTATGAAAGACATGAGCGTCCAAATTCGGAAACAAAGGCACTAAGAATATTAACATCATATCACTGGACCAAACACTGCAAAAAATCACAAAAACTCACCAGAGTGTTCTTGAATCGATTGCTTCTGCTATACTTGCAAAGTCAGAAGTGAGAACAGCAAGACCATGCAGTTCTTCACCAGTGCAGCAACTGCTCGATGTCTTCGAGTACGAGAGTAGACGGCAACGATCGCAGCTAAAGCAGGAAGAGGACGAAATAACGAGAACGACGAAATGAGGAAATATGGACGCCGACGCGAAGGGACTCAGCGATACGCCGTTGGATTGGAGCACGCTTTTCTCCTTAGGAAACGCGGCCTTTGAGGCTATTTTTGCCTCTAGCAATGAGGAGAGGAGGAGGTTTGGAACCAAATTTTCACTATATACTAATCTTTAGGTATAGAGTAGATTTATGTAAATATTTTGGAAAATTGTAATTGTGGTTCTGAGCCTTGACCCGAGATTGTTAACACTTTATTGGCTGACGTTTCGGCAAGTCGCCTTCTTCAGAGCCTGGAATGGACAGTACGACTTGCAAACTATTCGATCAAACGTCGTGAATTGAGAGTTTTGCCAAGCTCAGCTTGTCATTAGCTTGTCAAATGACAAGCTAATTTGGAAATTAGTTAAGGAAACTTTTCATTCACATAAGTTTTTCACAATACTTCATACTTAGTTACTTAGTCCTACTGCGCATACACACACCAAAAGCAATTTCGTCACCTCTGCGTTGCAAACGAGCCATTTTTTCGTTTCTTTGGTAGCGGGAAATTTTCAGAAAAAAGTTTGCCACAACCTTCAGTCACATAATTTTTTGATGAAACTCCTACGTTAACTCCTACAGGCTTGTGTCCACGTGCGTACCAAGTTTCATACCATATCGTCATCTGCGCGTTCCAAACGAGCCGTTTGAATTCACATCTTAATTTAACAATTTTGCGAAATTCACGGAAAAAAATGCTTATTACTCGTTCCGTTCACATAAGTTTTTCATAATTTTTCATAGTTTGTTTCCATTAGCCTCTCTCCGTTCGCATACAAAATCTGGTGCCATAGCGTCACGCATACATTGAGAACTAGTCATGTATGCTGTTACAAATAGCATCGCTTGAGCGACGTCGCGCGTGCGACAATTAGCGACGGCGCGCTTTGACGCGCGCGAACTCCAGTTTTCGCCTGTTGAGGCACATAACATGTTAAGATAAGCAGCGAGCATAAACTACCAATTTTTTTGGGGGGGGGGGGCTCCGCCTCGGACCCCCCAAAAACGATTACCCCTTTGCTTTTTTTGCCGAAAACGATTTTCAGCTTGTCATTTGACAAGCTCGTGCCGGGCCCTGTTCAAGGCCCCTACTGAAATTGCGCATGTTCCCGTTTAATTCACAATTTCCCGCTGTCTGAGAGGAGTAATTGTTTTTAGCATGACAAATTGTGTTTTCATCTCCCATTGCTTATCGCATCTGCAATGTGAAGAGTCACTATACATCTGTTTCTGTTATGCGTAACTGTGATTAATTTGCGGGATTTTTATTATTTCTGTCACAAGGACGGAAATAATAAAAATTTAAGATTGCATTCATATTATCCCACAAAAGCGACACTAACTACACCTCGACGGTTTCATTTCCACGGCAACCATATCCGATACTCATTTGCCAATCAAGCGCCATTAATTTGATTGAAAAATTCTCTCAAACACCCCTAATCAGAAGCGTTGAAGGCATGTATACTAGGCCGAGAAACTCTGCCACCATGGAGTTCGGAATTCGCCATTTCTGCTTGCGGACTTCATTGTTTGTTCATATTCGGTTTCATTCATGGTAGTGTGTGAACTCGTACTCCGAGTTCGCCTTCTGCTGCGTATGGACAAACAATTTCTTCAAAACTTGGTGTTTTGCCCGAACCGATCTCCTTCCACTCAAAAGCTCAACTTCCTTCTCGAAGAGTTTTTCCCCCACTAATGGCTGACTTATTAGTGAGAAAGCAGCTAATCCCAAATGGGGGAGGCTTTCAATAGAAGCTAAAGCGGCGTCGTCGCGGCGCAACTTTCAATTAGCCACCAAGCCTGAGTGAGACGTTGAGAGACTTATGAGTAGAAGACAAGCCAGGTGCGAAAGCTCAGGTAATGACTATAGATCAGAGCTTTGCATTCTTTTCGCAGCGTCTTCATGTCAATTTAGGTCTGTTTGAGGCAACAGCAACGATCTCACAAACAATGGAGTCAATTTGTCCTCCTTTCTACTTTTTTTGAAATGTGTATCTTCCTAATTCCCTAACTTTCTCTTCTATGGAAAGGATAGTATGTTTTGTTTACTCCGCTATTTATTTTAGTTTTGAAAATCTGAAAGCCAGGGCTCGGCATGCCTGTATATTGTTTTTAGGACAAAAAGCAAAGGTGGTTTTGTTCTTGTAGCCGAAAAGACACAAAATTTACGACGTTTTTTTGAGACGTTCGTTTTCTGAAGATTTTTCAGGGATTATGGTTTAGGGTCAAAGGGGAGTTCTTAAAAATTCGCAAAAGTCAAGGGACTTCGTTTGCATTTTTAACTAACCACCTCGTACCGAGCCCTGTCTGGAATAGAACTTAATTTCGTTTTTTTTCCGCAAATGTTATTTTGCTTACAATATAGATTAAGAAAATGGTCCTCACCGTTTTCTCCTATAAATCCGAACCCTCGTAAAAAATTTCAAATTTCTCCTGAATTTGTGAAGTAATATGCCCGCGAAAATTTTCAAACTATCCCAAAACTTCCTCCGAGTTTATCTCAAAAAAAATTTTTTTGAACCGCTAGGCTTAACATATTTGGTATAGGTTGTGTGCAAAGTCTTTCTTTGCCTTTGCAGGAAGCAAATAGCCTCAAAAATTTTCCATCCTTTCTAATATGTATCTGAATAGTGGATTTTCTCAATTTTATATGGTGTGCAGATGAGGAGTGAAAAAAATTCATTTTGTTTTCTCTTATTTCCTCTCCTCCTGCTCTAATGTTTATTGTCAAACCTGTCCCTTACTATACTACGCCAATTTGAGTGTATGCTTGGCTGTCTCTTCCAGACGTAGTACGCTCCTGATGCGAGTAACAACTCTTCACCTATTCCTCTCTTCTTCAACAAAAACTATTGCTCTATACCCCAAACTATTAGCGATTGTCCCTTCCTTGGTATCTCCTCCATCAAAACACAAAAATTGGGGGTCGCTATAAACAATGTGTCAGAAATGGCAAATGTTGTTACAGTCGCGAAGTGATTGAAAAAGTAGTAGAAGAACAGCGGGACGAATTTTTTGGGGAAAGAAAATGTGACCAAAATCTTTTTTTAAGTAAAAGTGCTGTCCTTAGCCACACTTCCGAATTTTTGGTTAACTTCTTGAAAACAGAGCGGGCCGTTAATCTCGAAATTTGAAAGAAGGGGCCTGGCCATGCTCCAGAAACCTTTCTTGAAAGCTAAAAGAAATTTTTTGGAATTTTCAAAAATTGATTTAACTTTATAACTGAGAACAAGTGCGGAATTTTGTGAATCATGTAAGAAGCCTCATAGATTTTTGCGAGCTTTTCTTGGAGGAGACGAAAATAAATAATGCAAAAAGTGCAAAATAAATAAAATGTAAAATAAATATTTTCAAAATACTGTAAGTCTCACGCCCTCGGAGTTTATTGAATTAATTGCAGAAGTATGCAAGCTAAAATTATTTTCAAAGGACGTCGATAAAATTGTTTGCCTTCTCTCATTTAGTTTCGCCTTTTCGCTTACAGTTAAATAAATGCAAAAATATGAAAAAAACAAAAGAAAAAAATATGAAAGCTAAAATCATTTTCAAAGGGCGCTTAGAATTTCTCCAAATTACCCATTTTGCTTACAATTGAATAATTGCAGAAATATGCAACCCGAAATTAAATTAAGAGGGGCCGAAAGAATTTTTTACTTCCTCTCATTTTAGTTTCCCCTTTTTGACTTCATAACATCATTTAGTTCTTAGAAATATATGTCGAACTGAAGCCGTAGAACTAAACCACTGATGTAAATGCCTATCCTTTACGTTTCTATGACAAGTACATTGGAACAAATTCCTCAAGCATCATCCAACGCAACCGATCATTATGCTGATGCCGAGGTTTCGCGTCTAATAAGGTGTTTTCACAGAATGAATCTGTCCATCTGAGCAAGCATAGATCTGCCCTGCACGTTGCACGCACTCGTACAAATATCTTCGTTATGCGCGTTAATGCAAGTGCATTTGAATTTCCGGTACTACTAAAGTGCGGTTCATAATTATACGAACACCCCAAATTTTGAAAGTTTTTGGACTTTTTGGAAGAAACTCAAAAAGCCGTTGGTACCACGCGATAGAGCACAGCCGAAAACGGTATACGATCTACAAGAATGGAAATCGATGTCAATCTGAGAAGTGTTTTTGTGCTTAATGTGAATTTCTAGCGGTTCATAATTATACGAACACCTCAAACAAAGGTCCATTTTTCATCTGAGATTGCAATTTTTCGAGTCCAAACTTTTTGTAGAGTTACAATAACAAAGTCTAACATATCTGCTACACACTGTAGCCAGTGCAGCTCAAAAAGAGGATCGTTACTTTTTTCAGATGGCTCTAAATGCTTTTGGAGTGATTGCGCTCTAAAAACATACGTTCTTCTGTGGTTTATGCACTCTAATTAGCTTATACCAAAGCTATGAGATAAAATAAGCTCCATCGATAAATATTTTGTTTGACCTTTGGAAAATCTATGCGTTTTCGTACCGCTTTTCAACCAAGTTCCACCCTTACCCTAGAGTCAGCACGATTTCGAGCCTCAAAACTCAGCTTCGGAAGCCCTACAATGAAGTAAGCAGATGGTATGCAGTAGTTCACAAGACTGTGTATTTGGCTAGAAAAAAATCAGCAGCGTTGAGCGCTTGTTTTGGCCACGCAGACGTCATTTCACCAAAACCACTGTTTTCACTATTGCAATCACAACTTTATTTGGTTTTTTGCTCCATAGCTTCAAGATCAGTTCTACAAAAAACGCAAAAAAAGTTGGCACGGATACAACATCATGCGTGAAATGCAGCTGCTTCATATCAAATGTTTGCGCGAGAGAGAAGCCGAGTTTTGAGGCTCGAAATCGTGCTAACTCTAGGGTAAGGTTAGAACTTGGTTGAAAAACGGCACGAAAACGCATAGATTTTCCAAGCGTCAGACAAAATATCTATCGAAAGAGCTTATTTTATCTCATAGCCTTAATACAAGCTAATTAGAGTGCGTAAACCACAGAAGAACGTATGCTTTTGGAGCGCAATCACTCCAAAATCATTTAGAGCCATCTGAAAAAAGTAACGATCCTCTTTTTGAGCTGCACTGGGTTCAGTGTGTAGCAGATATGTCAGACTTTGTTACTGTAACTCTACAAGAAATTGGGATCCGAAAGATTGCAATCTTGAATGAGAAATGGACCTTTGTTTGAGGTGTTCGTATAATTATGAACCGCTAAAAATTCGCATTATGCGCAAAAACACTCCTAAGATTGACATCGATTTCCATTCTTGTGAACCGTATACCGTTTTCGGTTGTGCTCTATCGCGTGGTACCAACGGCTTTTTGAGTTTCTTCCAAAAAATCCAAAAACTTTTGAAATTTGGGGTGTTCGTATAATTATGAACCGCACTTTATATTTGTACGCTTTTTCGAGAATCGATCAGGAAGATTTGACCTTAGAGTGCTTATAAATAATTTTATGCTCAGGTGCTTTCTAATTGAGAAAAAAAAAGAACACATTCTAAATAATGTTTTGACGTTACTCATTCAATAATGCGACATTTACTTCTAGTTTTGGGACTCCCTTCCGCCTTCAGGGCCGGGAATACTTCATGCGTTTTCAGTCGCGATGCGATTTGGCAATATTCCAACTCTCCATAACTCACTGTAAGTACATTTTAAATGTACAGAAGATAGGACATTTTCATCAATCCACCTAAGTTATACACAAAATGCATGTGCAGTGTGCTAGGGTCGCATCTGAAGACCTCTGGCAAATGCCAAATCGCGCCGCGACTGAACTCGCGTGTAGTATGCGCAGTCCTTTTGAAATCTTTTTTTTTTTCAATCATAAAAGGAAAGATTAAATCAAGCTCTGTCTGCTTCATTGTACGATCAACTTATAATCATGCAGTTTAGATGAATTGCATCTAGAGAAAGTAAAGATTTTCACCAAAAGATGCTGTAGATCAAATTCATGAGGTATTTTGGAAAAACTTGAGCTGAGATTGTTTACTCTTGCAGGGAAGTATATGGACAGTCGCCCATTCGGAGAAAAAGTTACACACATTACTGAGTTCATTCAAGTTTTTTAAAATAAAAACTATGATTTTATTTCCTGTTGCATGTTACATATCGTTATTTTCTATGGTACCAAACCATCTGTTATTCACTCATTTTTTTTAAAGAAAAAAGAGACAAAAATGAGAATTTACTGTGAAACTAACAATAAGTTACTTTGAAATTCAATTAAGGATCATTTCCAGTTTGATAATCGCCGCCCTTGTGCCATGTCTAACTGATATTATCCGAAACCAACTCAAATTCGCATAGAAATCCTGATGAATATTTTTTATCATCAAAATACCCACATTTACCTCGCCAAAATCGCTCGAACTTCACAATTTGTCGAGGTGAGACTTTGCA